GCTTGCGAAAGCTGCACAGTGAATAAGGAAGACTGTAGAAGAATTGATGCTTTTGAGTTATGGTGTTGGAGAAGAATATTGAAAGTACCATGGACTGCCAAAAGAACCAACAGATCTGTGTTGTAAGAAGTACAGCCACAGTGTTCCTTGGAGGCCAGGATGGCCAAACTTCGTCTCTCATACTTCAGGCATATTGTTAGAAGGGACCAATTGCTGGAGAAGGATATTGTGTTTGGTAAGGTGGAGGGTCAGAAAAAAAGAAGAAGACCCCCAGCATAATTGATTGGCAAAGTGGCAGGGTCAGTGGGCTCAAGTGTGGCAATGACAGTGAGGTTGGCCCAGGATCGGGCAGTGTTTCTTTCTCCTGTGCATAAATAAGGTCACTATGAGTCGGTACCAACTCGATTGGAGCCTAACAACAACACCATCTCTTCCATTAGTTAGTATCTTTGTGACCTTGTGTATCTATTTAAAATTTCAGAATCTGTTTATTTGTAATGTATGCAATTAATGTCAATCTTTTAAAATTGCTATGAACCTTAATACCTGGCATATATAAGACATATAATAAATGTAGAGTCCTGGTATGGTGCTGTGGATTAATGCTTTTGACTGCAAAGTTGGTATGAACTGAAAGGTTGGTGTTTCAAGCTCACTAGCTGCTCCTTGGAAATCCTGTACGGTACAGGATCGCTATGAGTTGCAAGCGACTCAACGGCACTTAACAAGAACTCCTAATGTGGTTGCTATTAGTACTGATGGTGGTGGTGTGCCATGGAGTTGATTCTGACTCATAACAACCCCGCATAAGGTTTCTAAGTGTGTAAATCTTTACAGGAGCAGAAAGCGTCATCGTTCTACTGCGGAAGGGTGGTAGTTTCGAACTTCTGACCTTGAGGTTTAGTAGCCTGACTTGTAAATAGTACACTTACCTGAGCTCCTAGTTAGTTGATAGACCATTAGAAAATAGTGTATCATGCTAAATGGCTTTGTCCATAGTATTGGTGTAAGTATATGGCTCAATCTTTTTGGTTTTTCCTTTTTCAGAGATGATGAAGAGAAAAAAAAGTCTCCCTCAGAAGGTAATGATGAGAAGGCTAATGGAACACATCCAAAGACCCTCAGTCGTATTGGGAGTACTACCAATCCATTCTTGGACATTCCTCACGATCCAAATGCTACTGTCTATAAAAGTGGGTTTTTGGCTCGGAAAATCCATGCAGACATGGATGGAAAGAAAAGTAAGGATTATTTTTTTCTTGTCATTTTCTATTTTATCTTTAGACTCAGAGTTAAAGTTAATATGTTTAAAGTAAAGTCCAGAATGAAGAAAAATGATGAGGTTTAGTTGAAGAAATATTCTAAACTTTGATGAAATCTCTAAATCCATTATGGCACCTGACCTTCCTCCGGTAGGATTACACTCTAATCAGGTAGGATTAGAACTTTAGAAAAGAAAGACATCTTGCAAGATTACTCAGTTCCCAGCCTATAATTCATTTATTTGTTAATTTATTCAAAAATAGTATTGAACACCTATTATGTGCAAGAAATGAAAAATATAGCAGTGAGTAAAAAAAACAAGGTTCATGTCTCTGTGGAGTTTACATTGCTGGTGGGTAATGTACAAAAGATAAATTAACAAGTGAAAATTTTCTAGAATCCCAAGAGACATCAGATGGGGAGGAATTGAGATTCATGGTTCATGTAAAAGCACTGAGCTTTAATATCAAGATAAGACAGGTGAGATGTAGAAGATGGCATATTAGTATTGGAAAATTAAGGAGTCCCATCTGACAATTGTAATTTTCTGAAGTATAAGATTGAATTATCTATGATAAACAGTGATGTTTAACATTTGAAATGAGTGGCGTATACAAATAACATTTTCATTTATTGGAGTGGAACAGGAAAAGAAAAGATGACATGTATGCTCAAAAATATCAAACTATACATTTGGAGGTTTCATGCTAACCTGTAGATACATCATGATGATATAGACAATACCTATGCACTCGCCTATTAGAACATAGAATATTTTTCTAACAGCATTGTGACAGGACTTTTGTGGTTCCTATGATAGCAGGCCAGACTAAGTTGGGGGGAGGGGGAAGGCACACCTGAAAGTGAGAGATTAATTACCACCAGAATACTCCCTTTGCTTTTTGTCTCTACCTTATTTTACATGTCAGTTTTATCCTTTCAAACAAGAATATTTTGCTTGAGAGGATCTATTTTAATTAATGTAGGCCTATTTTGCCACCAGAGAGAATTGTCTTTCTTCCCTAAGTTCAAATTTAGTAGGTCCTGGGGTGGTAGTGGTGGCGGTGTACCATGGACTCAATTCTGACGAATAGCAAGCGTGCATAAACTGTAAATCTTTATGGGAGCAGAAAGCCTCATCTTTGTCCCATGAAACAGCAGGTAGTTTCAAACTGCTGACCGTGAGATAAGCAGCCTGAGTCATAACCACTGCACTTCCAGAGCTCCTACTAATGTAGGAGTTTTTCATTTGTATAGCGGAGGGTGGGATACTGTGCTTGACAGAACCCACTTGGTTACAGTACGAAGAGGAAAAGGTCCAGTAAAGAAGGAATAAGATACAATTGTACTGGGCTGACAAAGAATAGCTACCTATCTTTCTCTTCTCAGCATTAACACACAACCCCTTTCCCTATATATTCAGTGAGAAAAAAGTTTTTGTTGAACTTAATATGGTTTTACTTGCAACCAAAAATATATGCATTTCAATCCAAGATGTCATATCTAGCTGCTGCTTCTATCTTCAAATCTAAGATTTGTCGGTAATGTACATTCCCCTCAATAAAGTTTGGATATATCTTCAGCCTATATATTAGAATCCTGGTTTGGCACTGTAGGATAAGCTGGACTACTAACCACAAAGTTGGCAGTTCAAACCCACCAGCCACTCCTTGGAAACCCAGTACAGGGGCACAGTGAGTCGCAACCAACTTGAAAGCACTTAACAAAAACTACATAGATTAAAAGGAAGCTATAAAAGTATCTAGCGTGTTTCCTATAAAGTACTCTAAACCACAGGAATCCAGCAAGTCAATCCCTACTCATAGTGATCCTGTGTAGAGTTTCTGAGGCTGTCAATTTTTACAGGAGCAGAAAGTCTCATCTCCCACACCCTGAACACAAAGTTCAGTGAGTTTGAACTTCCAAATCTGTGGTAAACTGTCTAGTGCTTATCTTATAACGCCACCAGGATCCCTTATAAAGTACTATGGTAGTGATTAAGTACCTGGAGTTGATTCTAATTTGTAATGATCATGTATTGCAGGGGTGAGGAACTTTTTTCTGCCAACATTTATAACATCATTCGCAGGCCATACAAAACTGCCACGTTAAAAATTAGTTTGCTATATTTGGTTAAATATTTAATTAACTCATCTGGAGTTATGGTGATGCTGGGAGTCCTGGTGTGGGGCACTGTAGGATAAGCACTGGACTTCAAGGTCATTTAAACCTCAAGGTCTGTGGTTCAAACTCAACAACCATACCTCAGAAACCCTATACGGGGCCAGTATGAGTTGGAACTGACTCCAAGGCATTTAACACTAACAGCATTTGATGCTTGGAACTGCAGTTGCCTTGGCAGGCTCAGACCAAATGATTTCACAGGCCTCCTATGATCTGCAGGCCAGACGTTTCCCACCCCTGCTGTATAGGGTTTCTGAGGCTGTAAATCTATGTTGTTGTTGTTAAGTGCCGTTGAGTCGGTTCTGACTCATAGCGACCCTGAACAGGGTTTCCGAGGCTATAAATCTTTACAGGAGCAGAAAGCCTCATCTTTCTCCCACAGAGCAGCTGGTAGTTTTGAACTGCTGACCTTGCGGTTCACAGCCCGATTTGTAACCACTACACTGCCAGAGCAGAAAGTCTCGTTTTTCTCCCAACGAACAGCAGCTAGTAGATTCGAACTTCAGCCCAGTTTGTGATCTACTATGCTTGCTACCAGGGCTCCTTATAAAGTAACATGCTGTTGTTGTTAAGTGGCATTGAGTCAATTCCAATTCATAGCATCCCTGTATAGGATTTCCGAAGAGCAGCTGGTGAACTTGAACCGCCGGCTTTGCAATTCAAACTGGCCTTGCAGTCCAGCGCATTAGCCCATAACACCATAAAGTACCATAGGGGGGAAAATAGGTATATAAGTGCATATAATTTAAAACACAGATTTAGGGGAAAAAAAGATAGGAAGGAAAGCAGCTGTCGTGGATTCAGAATATGTGCTCAATCATATTGGACAAGAATATCAAAGTGAACTCACTTGGACATCTTCTAGTTGATTAATTCCTATAGCATTGAATTGACTTGCTCATTAAATGTATTTGTGGTCCCAGGTTCTGCCTATGGATAGGATATTTTTTGTTCATTATTTTCTTGGGTCACCTCTAGGGGCAGTGGTGAGGATTCCCCTTCTGGAAGCCCCGTTTCTTTAGCTAGCAACCCACTGTATATGAGTGTGGGTGCAAAACCTACACTCAACCTTAGCAGTTGAGATATCACAGATCCCTTTGATCAGCCAAATGCTTTCCTGCCAGTATAACTCCTTTAAACTTAGCTGTTGTTGTATGTCGTCAATTCAGTTCCAACTTATAGTGACCCTGTTATGGTTTCAAGACAAAATCTTTCAGCAAAAAGCCTCATCTTTCTCCTGTGAATCAGTGATAGACACTTAGCCCACTATGCCACCAGGTCTTAAAGTTAACAACCTAGCGAATTTCTGTTTGACTAGGATTATTTTAAAGACCATGAGTCTTTCGTTTTTTCAGTAATTTAAGAAGTGCTCCCTGTTTTCCAGAGGAACTTGCCTCTGTTTCTGTTACTGCTTCAGGTTTAGAAAAATAATCTCAAACCTACTGCCATTGAGACATTTTCAATTCATAGCAACCCTATGTTGTTTTTAAGTGCTACTGAGTTGGTTCCAACTCATGGCAACCCTGTATAGGGTTTCTAAGGATTGGCTGTTGAGTTTGAACTGCTGACCTTGTGGGTTAACAGTCCAGTATGCTTATCCTGCAGCACCACACCAGGACTCAATAGATCTACTCCTAGGGTTTCTGAGACTGTGAATCTTAATGGGAGAAGACAACCTCATTTTTTTTTTTTCCCCCTTATGAGGGGCCTGGTGAGTTTAAACTGCTAGTTAGCAGCCCAGTACTTAACCCATTCTACCACCAGGGAGGAAATGGATGAGATAAACCTAGACTTTTAGGCTTCATTCTTGTTGATTGCTTTATCATTTAGCACATTTTTAACTTTTTGTGAAGGAGCTTCTTGGGAGATTTTCTTGTCCTTTAATTCCTGAGTCTTTTCCTGAATAATGATGTTGTTAAGTGCCATGCAGTTGGTTCCTGAAAAACCTCATCCCAATTTCTTATGCATTCCAAATTATAGGACTTCTTATAGGATTCATGGGCTCATGGTGTGGTGGTAAACAGGATCAGCACTGGACTGCAAACCACAGTGTTGGCAGTTAAAACCCATCACCTACTCCTCAAAAACCCTCTACTGGTTGCTGTATGTCTTATCCAGCTGGACAACCCTTAACAAAAACAACATAAATTTCATGGTTTCCAAATCACTTTAGTGTGGATTGATAATTCAACTTTTCTGATACACAAAGCTAGATGATTTTCTGGTGTTTAGGCACTTCACAACAACACAACAACAACATATACCTTAAAATCACCAATACATGTGCAATTTGGATTTTGAAGTATGAATACAGTCGAGTAACCATCATTTCAATCCATATACATAATATTTCCATTAACCCGAAAAAGTTTCATTATACTTTTTGCTGTTAATTCCTTTCCTCTGTCCTAGTTTATGGCAACCACTGTCATATTTTTGCTTTTTCTAGGATTTCAATAAATGAAACTATATTTACTATCCTGTGCCTGGCTTCTTTCACTTAGTATTTTCCTATGCCAATTCATAAATACTGTTTGTGTTATGTGCATTAGTGATTGTAATTTGGTTGTTCTTATTGCTGAATAGCATTCCACTGTTTAGATATTCCATAGTTTATTCAGCAAGGGACATTTGGGTTGTTTCCAGCTTTGAACTATTATAAATAACACTGTTATGGACATTCACATATGTTTTGTTTTGTTGTTGTTAAGTGCTGTCAAGTTGGTTCTGACTCATAGAGATCCTGTACAGGGTTTCCAAGGAGCAGCTGGTGAGTTTGAACCGCTGACCTTGT